AAAAAGGTATCTTAAAACCAAAAAACAAACTCACTGCCGTGGAGTCGGATCCGACTCATAGTGACCCCTTCTTGGGTTTCCCAGGCAGTATCTCTATGGAAGTAGATTGCCCAATCTTCCTTCAGAGGAGTGGCTGCGGGGGAGGGGGGTTTGAAACGCCAGCCTTCTGGTTAGCAGTCAAACACCTTAGGTACTACGGCACCAGAGCTCCCAAAGATATCGGGGGGAGGGAGGGACAAAAAAAGCAAAAACAAAATTTAACAGAAGACTGAAAAAGAAAGTTGAGAGAAAACGTCCCAAAAAGAACAGGAAAAGGGCAAGGATGGAAAATTGGGATTAAGAAAAGCAGAAGAGAAATCCAGAAGGTCCAATATTTGCGTAATAGAATTCAAAAGAAGAAAAGGAAACAGACAAAAAACAATGCAAGAAATTCATGAACAAAGTCTGTCAAGAAAACGCCCCCCACTGGAGGCCAGGAGTGGCCCATGCACAAGGAATGAACACAGGACCACTGAAGCACGACCGGGGTGTTTCCCTGGGAAATTTCAGAGCACAGAGGACAGTGGTTCCACAAGCTTTCCAAAAAGGACGAAAAAGCTGGCGTCAACCATGACGGTCAATATTATTTTCTGGCACTCACACTGCTCTAACACGTATCCCACAGGTACCTTTTCTCAAGAAGTGACTGGAGGATGTCCCTCCACCAAAATGAAAGAATTAAAACAAGACAGACATCAGGACACAGGACTAAGGAAAAGAGAACCCAGAGGAGGAGAGATGAAGGGAAATGGTAGGAATGTCAGCTGCACCCGATCTGTGGATCATGGTCCAGGAGACAGACTCACCTACAGCTGTACCATGGCTACTGTGTCAGCAGACTGCTGATGCGTTTGGGCCAGGGTCTTTGCTGTACTTCTTCAATTTTGGCCACATCTAATGATGCTACAGGAGCTCTGTTGGCGTAGTGCCTAAGGCATTTGACTACTAACCTGAAGGCTAGTGGTTCAAACCCACCAACCACTCCTTGGAAGGAAGGTTGGGCAATCCTACTTCTGTAGTGATACTGCCTCAGACCCAAGGAGGAGTCGCTGAGTCGGGTCTGACTTGACGGCACATAACAACAACAACAAGGAGTCCTGGTGGCACAGCAGTTAAAGTGTTCAGTGGGCGCTTTGAACCCACCAGTGGCTCTGAGGGAGGAAGATCTAGTCATCTGTTGTCTTGCAGACTCCAGCCTTGAAAACCTTTGGGATAGTCTTTGTCCTACAGGGTCACTATGAGGTGGAATCATAGTGGCAGCAGGTTTGGTTTTGGTTCAGTGACACTTATTTTAGCATCCTCCCCGCCCCTTGGTGTTTTGATGGACTTTAGAATGGAGGAAAGCCGCCATGACTCAGACATAGTGTCAACCTCATTTCTGCCCGTTGCTCAGTTCTCAGTACCCCCCATCCCAGTCCTGGTGGATGCCTGACCCTAGTGAACCCCTTTCCCAGGCCCACTCAATACCCTGAGCACTGTCCTCCCTAGAAGAGGCTCTGAGACGTTATCAGGAAAGCTAAGGCCCAACTTGACCAGACCCTTCTCTCAACGCCTCCATCTAACTATGGCCAGACTGTTTTCTCCTGACACAGCCAGCTGTGGTGAACCACCCATCTGTTCAAACCACACACTGCTTGGGACACACACGGTGGCAAAGCTCTAAAGAAATAAACAGCAACACTGAAACCAAGGGAAGCGTCCTCTGGGGACGGTGAGGAGGGAAAGGGTGACTAACCCAGGGGGCTTCCAGAATGCTGCAGGCTCTGTTTTTAACCTGGGTGGGGGCACACATCCTGCTGTTGAACTCTTCCTCAACAACACGTCTACTCTTTATACAGCCTTCTGTGTGCGTGGTGCATGAAACACACAATTGCAGTGCAGCCTCGCAAGGTAGCAGTTCCTGCCTTCTTTGAGGCGGTAACATTTGTATGAACCCCCACTCCCCCCAAGCTGGCACCTACTTCAGTCACTTTGTCAGAAAGGACCATTCTCTGGAGAAGGCTGTCACGCTTGGTAAACCGGAGGGTTAACGAAAGAGGGGAAGGCCCTGAACGAGATGGTTTGACATGGTGGCTGCAGCGATGGGCTCAGGTTTAGCAGGGATTGTGAGGCCGGCCCAGGACCAGGCCATGTTTCGATCTGTTGTGATGAGGTCACTGTGAGTCAGAGCCGACTGGCCAGCACCTAACAACAACAATCCCAAGCTTCGGTACAATTCACTGCAGTCTGAGTGTCCCCTCTGTGCACAGTCCACCACTCTGCAGGGTGATGTGCAGGTTTCGGAGACCAAGGAAACAGGACCGAGAGAGCACGCGGTTTACCGTCCCCTCTGGCGCTCTAACATTTCAGTTAATTAAAAAGTCTGTTATCCACCATCCACCATCTATTTGTGCTGACATCTGAGATGATTCTGTTTAAATTTCTCAAAGACCAAGCTAGAATTTTTTTTTGGCAATAAGATACAAAGTAAAGGAGGGATGAAAAAAATCAATCCTAAGGCCTAGGTGTAAGATTTAGATCTACTTCCATTCTGTCCATGCTACAGGTTCCCTTCACGGACATGGCTAAAACATGCCACCTCCAGTCTTCGGTGTCTTAATGAGCTCCAAGCCAAGACGTGCAAACTACATGGGTTCTTAGTCTTGGGTGGGTCACTGTGTTTCTGGCCTCTGGGCTCTTTCAGCCAGAGTCCCTAGGTGGTGCGAATGGTTAATGTTTGGCTGTGAACAGAAAGGCTGAGGGTTCAAGTCCCCCTAGAATCACCCCAGAAAGCCTAGTGATCTACTGCCGAGAAATCAGCCCCTGGAAACCCTGTGGACCACAGCTATACTCTGACACACGTGGGGTTGCTACAGGTTGACTCCATGCCAACTGGCTTTTCACTCTCTCCAGGCCAGTGCTGTGCCCACCTGTTCAACAGCAGGCAGTCTCTGGAGCAGACGGGGCTCCAGGCCTGGCCACCTGTGCACTGTCTCCATGGGGCTTTCCTACCTGTGTCCGTCACGGCACTCACCCACAGGGGCACTGCTCGCGCACCATACTGGCTGTTGCTCCTGCCATGGCTCCCCAGAAAGCAACGTCTCCACACATCACTGATGTGCCCACACACTGAGGCTGCTCAGTGGGAAGGCTGGGTCCACATGACCTGATAGCGGAGAGAGTTACCTACTCCCAAAAGCCCTCCTAAGGACAAGACGGGCTGAGCTTCAAAGATGGCAGTGACTGACCATCCACTATCTTTCTAATTTCTTCATCTGAATCATCCACCCTATCACTGCTGAAGAAGGCCCCGGGTGGTGCAAACAGTTAAGCAACTGGCTAGTAACTGAAAGGTCAGTGGTTTGAATCCACCCTGAGGTGCCTCAGAAGGCCGAGCAATCTACTTTTGGAAGATCACAGCCAATGAGAACTGGGGGAGCACAGTTGGGGGAGCCTGGGTCTGATGCATGTGGGGCCGTGTGAGAGGGGATCCGGGGCTGGTGCCACGGCCGCAGACGTCGAGTGAGACGGAAACACCCGAGGCTGCTCGCCACGCAGGGCTGCACACCCACAGCCAGAGAGCGAGCAAATGGAGAGACAAATACGAAAACAGCCCGGGGTCGTCATCAAGGTTTTGTGTTTTATTTAAGATTTTAGTTTTAATTCTGAAGAAAGAGGTACATTTCCTTGTTTTTAGTTTTAGCGTCAGGTTATAACCAGGTTCCAGCTCTCTTTCTCCTGTCTTGTCAATACTGCACGAACGTCCAGGAACTACAGGGTTAAGTAAAAGCTGCAGGTGGAGGTCAGAGATTTGCTCCCGGTGGTGAAGGCCCCAGAGCAGGGCTTGCCACAGTGCCCTCTCAGGTGAACTTAATGTCAAAGAAAACAAAGGCTCTGACAGGACAAAGACTGAAGAAATCACTCATAGTTCAGCTCTGATCTTAGGTGTCGGTATTAAATCTGTGAATACTTTTTTCTTTAAAACATTTGAATTTACTTTAAATCTAAAGCCCAAATTTTTTTTCTCCTTAAAAAAAAAGAAAAATCACTTCCCCCTCACAGAAACGCTTTAGCGACAGGCCATTTACTGCTACGGACCAATTCGTCCTTCCATCAACTTCCAATAAATTCTTTTGCTCAGCGACACAATCAAGTCCTCCCCATCAACTTGCCAACAGGATTACAAATTAAATGAGATGCAAAGCGTTTTCCCTGCAGTAGTGACAGGCTGAGCGCCCATGGCCCGGGCCGCAGCTCCCCCCGTGCACTGGGCAATCTCAGTGGATCCACCCGGTTGTCAAACTTCTGCAGCTGGGTACGCAAGACGTGACCTTCCCTAGAGATTAATCGTCATTTTCTGCTAAACAGATTACGTCATTATTATGCGCAACAGACAAACGGTAATTTTCTAAAGTATCGAGACTACCTTTGATTTCTTTCTTTTTTTTTCCCCCTCCTTAAAAAGGCATTTCAGGAAACATTCCACAGTGTCACTCAAATGCTGGATAAACAGAAATGTTTACAATAATAATGAAAGAAGAGATGGCAATGACCCTGTGATCGCACTGCATGGGGTGGGGAGAAGGTAAACTGATCGGAACCGGATTCTTCAGAACTTAAGAGATGGTGGGGAGCTGTGGGCGGGCTGAGAGGGAGAAACGGGGCGGCCAAATCCTGCCTCTGCTACCGGCGCCTGCGCTTCCCTAGTGGCGGTCCAGTGTCGAGCTCTGTAGTAGATCTGTGGGGGTCTTGCTGGGGGGTCTGAAGGCCGTCTGGAAGCCTGGGGGTGGGGAGTGGAAGCTGGAAGGATTTGAAGGAGGAGGGTAGGGGTTCCAGCTGGCTCTGTGCAGCGGGATCTGTGTACTGAAGGGGGCGCTGTGGTGGGGCTGGGGGGGGGCAGCGCTGGGGCCGTCCATCTCTGTGAGGGCCTGGAGGGATTTGAGCCAGTGCGGAGGATTGTCATCTTGAAGAGAGTCTAAACTGTTTCCTGAAGATGCTGGAATACCTGGGAGGACAGAAGAAAACAAGAGGGACAAGCGTGAGTCCGGGCGGGGAGAACAGGGAGTCAGGCTAACACATTGGTTTCCTGTGATCAGAACATCCACAGGAAGTGCAGCAAGAGACAGCTTCAAACTCCTTCCAAGCAGACCTTTCTCGTCCAGCACCCCTTTCGTTCTCCCGCAACGGCCGAGATTGGTTTTCCTGCCAACCATGCCTTCCTTTTCCGCCAGAGACCCAGGCCCCCACCACCAGAGGCAGAGCTGCAAACCTGGTGCCCAAGACCTGCACGACGCAGTTTCCCAATCAGGCTTCCCCTTCACTAAGAAGGACACACCAACAGCCTTATAATAGAGAGCTTTATAAAAACCAAGTGGAGTATGTTCCTTTGAGGAAGGCTACGTGAGAGCCTGCTGTACTTTGAGGCCTACGGAGTCCGTGGTGCTGCCAGACCTGAACACCTACCTAGACCCAGAGAAGCACCGAGCCACCAGATGCTGCACGCGCAGCTAGCAAGCAGAGTTAATCGCCGTCACGTAACCCCGGAGAACCACACAAGCCACCCCACGCGGGTGGCTCTGTGACAAGAAGCAGGTGGAAGAGACCGACTGTCTCTGGGCTGTGCCAAGAACCGAATGGCCGAAGTCATTGGAACTGAACGAGTGAGAGTGTTACCTGTGATGATGGCTGGGTCTGTCCAGCTGCCAGGGCTGTCCCAACTCAGGCCGTCCGTGGTGGCAGTGTTGGACGTTGGTACACTGTGGCTGGCGTTGGAGGGGGAGGAAGAATGGGGCAGTCCACCAAAGTTGATGTTAATGTTGGGTAGAAGTGCCCTTAGCCCGTCCTGCCATTCCTTCATATTTAAACTCTCTACAGAATTGCTGTTGTCTGGGAGATTTACCAACAAAAAAATGAAAGATAAAAAAAAAAACAAAAAAAAAAAACATAAAAAGCTGATGTTAGAAACGTATGTTGCTCTTCAGTGGGTAAGCGGGAGAAGACTTATGCTTTGTTTACCGAGCATCTGAAATGGCTGTCCTAGCGAGGGAAACTTGGTTAGGACCCTGCTGGTGAGCCCAGAGCCCCGGAAATAAATGAGGGACTGCCTCAAGGACCAGGGAGGGAGGGCCCTGCCCTCAGTCTAGCCTCCTCGCCACTGGGCCTCTGCAAATCCATCAGCCAGTCGGAAGGCGCCACGCCCCAGCACACGAGTGCCTCCCAGCTGCACGGTCAAGTGTCCCTGAGTGGGGCCCTTTGCTGGTAGAGCCGCTTTATGCCTGAACAATGCAAGCTGCGAGTTAGTACAGGAGTTTATTCTGGAGCCCCTTCAGTGGAACAAAAGCCATTTTATGAAGAACAAACGTAAGTCAACAGGAAAAGAAAAATCATTAAGTTCTTCCTGATTATAAAGCTGGTAATGCATTTCAGAGAAGAAAGGCGGTAATGAACGGGCTTTTGGATTTGAAAAGAGTATTTTTCCTTGAGTCACAAAGGCCACGGAGGCAGAGGCTGATGGGCCTTAACTGGAGTAACTGCCAACGCAGCTGGCTTCCTGGGCTCCAGCGGCTCGCAGTCACTCCGAGCACCAGTCCTGGGCCCTGCGGCTGATCTCTGAACAGTGTCAAACACGACAGGGCACCATCGCTGTCAAAAAGCTTTTCATAAATCGTGACCAAATAGCCTGATGACTTCCCTCCAGAGGCCACAGTACAACTAACTGGTCAGGGCCAAGAGGCGGGTAGCGGGTAACAGCAACTTAGCATAACCGTTTCCTGGAAGACAGGAATGCAGGCTTCACCACCAACTGGGCTTTCAGAAAAGAGCTGAGAAAATTCTATCTGGGTGTGCAGGACTGATCAGCAGTCCACACTGACAATGAGGACACTCTCTCTAGCACTAGTGCTATGTGGTGAACTCAGAGCTGTTCAGTAATTTTGCTTTGCACCGATCACTGAGCTATAAGGAATGGCATATTTTAGCAACTGAAGTACTTAACCCTACTGACAAAAACTACACTGTCATTTCTGAACTTAAAATGAGGAAAAGGAACTCTATGCAATACAAACCAGTCAACAGAAGGGAAAATAACTCTTCGAATCTACTTCTGTTTCCAGTCAATGTAGGGACTAGCCCTCCCTCCTTGCCTGGGCACCTGCTGTCCGTCTGCACTGTGCTGTATTTACCAGGTACTCAGTCAATCCTCACCACAACCCTGTGAGGCAGGCAGAGCAGGAGGAATTAGCTGCATTTAGTCCAGAACTTGTATAATGTGGACCTAAACCCAGGCCCCATCTGAGAGTTTTTGTTTTTTAAATAATACCACACTCTCTACTGATCTGCTCTGTGCAGACTATTAATTTATTTCCTCAGGAATCAAGCATTTAAGGGAAAACTCAGGGGCCTACGAGGCCCACGGCTGAGGAGACAAGAAAGCCCGCGGCAGCACGGTGGTGTGTCCATCAGCACCATCAGCAGGGGAGGGACACACCGGGACTCAGAGAACCACCTGGACTCTGCAGCCAGAGAACCACCTGGTCAGCAACACAACCCCAGCATTCTCCCTGTGCTCCCAGACCGCAGGAGGCCGTGACAAGATCCCACTGAGAAGGGCCCAGGACACCCTGGGTCGCAGAAGGTGGACACTTTGACCTATTCTAACTTTTAAAGCAGTCAATCTGTCAACACGAATAACTTAATGTGGTTGTCTATCTGTCAGAAACTGAACTCTAAATGGGAAAACTTCTTAAAAGGGAAACAAGAATCTCCCTGAAGTAGAAAGCCGATGTTTAACGATACGGGAAGATATTCTAAAAAATGCCTGAGCATCTGCTGGAACATGAGCGTTCCTGAGCAAGGCGAGCAAGGTTCAGCACGTCTACGCCAACGGTCTGAGCCTCCTCCCCACCGACATGGGGAAAAGAAAATACCCCGGGACGCCCGTTGACCAATTTTCTCTTTACTTTTGCTTTACAGGCAGTAAAAACTGGAATTAAGGGACTGCTAAGGCTGGCAATTCAAACCCACCAGCCACTCCTTGGAAGGAAGGCTGGGCAATCTAGTTCCATAGAGATACCACCTCGAAACCCAAGGAGGGTCGCTGTGACTGAGATGCGACTCAACGGCAGTGAGTCTGGTTTGTTTTTGGTTTTTAATTTTGTCTCACCAGAACAGTATTTGCATTCTCTTAAGATTTATTTGAAGATTAGAATTATAATCAGGTGGAAAGACATTTCTTCCTCTGATTGTAGACTAATGAAATTGAGAGGCAATGTTAACCAAGGCAATTCACATAGGACACGTGACACGGAAACAGAAAGGGTCACTGCAGGGTCCTCTGGAAATAAACCCACTCCACAGTTTATGTCTCCTCAGCTTCAGCAACAACAGCACAGTCATGTGCCCAGGCACCTCGGGAGCCTGGCAGCATAGGTGAGTGGCTTCTGGTCTCCAGGGAAGCTGCAGGCGATATGGGAGGTGGGCAGACACTTTCAGCCCTGGGAACGGGACAGCTGTTCCAAGGAGCTCAGAAGAGAGAAAAACACTATAGCGTTTTTTCCACTGATGCGTGCCAAGTGTTGGCACAAAGAAAGGGCAACAAGACACAGCCAATGAGTTAATCCTAACCCCACCAAGACAGTCCATCTGAGGGCAGCCATACCTGAACACCTCCCTGACCTTCACCCGCTACCTCTGACCCCAATTTGTTTTGGTTCTGGTAACTCCATTCCTTGAAATACTCCCAGCAGGGTTTCTCACCCGTGGCCCTGCCGACATTTTGGACTGAACAATTCTTTGCTGTGGGGGCTGTCCTAAGCCTTGTAGGATGTTCAGTTGCATCCGTGGAAAAAGGACTCCAGACGTTGACCCACGTCTCCTGAGAGGCCAAAGTGCCGCCGGTTGAGAAACCCTGACACAGAGGAAGCTCATTCCCCTGTTTCTGGGGCTCTCAACAATCTGGCCTGCGTCCGCAGTTCCCCTTCAAACTGCAGCAGGAATCTTCGCACTGGCTCAGCCCAGCATGTACAAGGCAGAAGCCTCATGGACCAAACGCTGGGCCGCCAACTGCGGACGAACGTACAGGCAGCTCCAGAACCGCTTACTAACGCGGCCTTGGGCCCGTATCACACTCAGACTCTCAGCAGCCCGGGGGCCTACCTCGCGAGCATAAATACCATCCACCTTCCTCTCTCACAGAAGTACAACGAGACACGAAGGAAAGGCAAGGTGAAGCCCATGTGCCAGGCTAAATGCCCAAACACGTGCTTCTCCAGTAGCTGTTACTGCCTGGTACTGACCTTCCCACAAAGCCAAGGCAGGCAGCTTCTCACTTGCCAGACTGGGCCCTCTGCACGACAGTCTCCTCTTAGGAGCTTAGGGGTCCCGCCCACCATTCTCATAGGCAAACTCTGGGAGCCTGTTTGCTTAGCACACCTCTCACCAACACACTGCAAAGACCAGTACGATACAGGGAAGTACTTCAACCTCCACAAGAAAGGTGTAAAAAAGGCTGCCATTAAGTCAGATCTGACTCACAGCAATCCCTCCTTGGGTTTCCGAGGTAGTCTCCCTACAGAAGCAGGTTGCCTAACCTTCCTTCTGAGGAGTGGCTGGTGGCTTTGAACTGCCAGCCTTTTGGTTAGCAGTCAAATGCCTTAGGCACTAGGCTACCAGAGCTCCCGTAAAAAGTCTATAAACAACGTATAATGAAAATCAAGTTACTGAACATGTTTTATGTTTAAAATGGTGCTAATTCTATTTAAGCCATCACGTAATACACTAGGGAAGGGACTATATTTTTAAAGTCTTGCTAATATGTTTAAGTGTTTAAGTGTTTTATGATGTTAAAAAAAAATATATTAACTTACACTACAAGAAGCTCTGGTGGCATAGTGCCTAAGGCACCTGACTGCTAACCAGAAGGCTGGTAGTTCAAGCCCACCAGCCGCCCCTTGGAAGGAAGGTTGGGCGATCTACTTCCAAACAAACAGTATTTTCAGTTCTAAAGAATCTGAGGGCAGGAGCAGGGTTGAGTTGCTAGTAGTAGTTTTATTTTTTGGTGTAGACCTCACAGGCATACAATTCAAAGAACTAGACGATGCTATACACCACACTCACATATTCCATCATGTAAGAATTATCAGTAGACTTCCAGTTGACCTGACTCAGAACACATTTTGCTGAAGGAGAAATGACGGCTAAAATCCTGCCGACTTGCTTGTGGCCACTGCACCCAGTCCACCAACAGAAGTTGAGCATCACACACAAAGCAGGTCGGCAAATCTAGCCTCAGCAGTAAAATCAGGAAAGCAGTAAAAACATTAGGAAAGTAGATAAAAATGAAAGCGACTCATCAGAGTCCCAACACGCAAGCAGCACAAAAGCACATAAATGAGGCCCCAGCTCTGAAGAAGCTGGCCATCTATGCGGTGAGACGGCACACGGCAAGTGCAACAATTACAACTCAGAACGGCCCAGGAGGAGTGCCGCACGCTTTGTGCGTGATTAACGAATGCGATGAATGTTGGCTGAGAAGTCAGAGGCCTGGGAGGTGCCGGCATGGGCCTGTGCTGGGGGTGAGGGGCCACGGTGACTGGTCCACGCAGGTGCCATGTTCGTTACCACATGGGCCCTCTTGGACCCGAAAAACTCACAACCGGTGACAACTATGTGTGACACTCCTACCTAACACTGGACTAGTCCAACACCTCACCAGGAAATACAGGTGGGTACAGTTTATATGCAGTGACTCTATTACAAGGCCAAACGAAGCTGTGTTTTGACTTTAGACCTCTCAGAAAAGCCGCAGGCAGAACTGATGGCAGGGCTAAGCCTCAGCACAGTGAGTGTGGTGGGGCCGTCACAGGCTTCCTGCCGGGCTGCTCCTCAGA